TTTGTAGAAAAGTGCGCAAAGCTTAACGTGTGCACTTATTTTAGAATTTTCCAAGCATCTGTTTAAAGATACCCGGAAGTACTAAATCTATAGGAGTGGTTGGATTTATTCACGCACGTTAAAATATTTATTTAAAGCTTCTTTCTTTTCAGATTCTTATTTACAGCATTATCTTAATAGGCTGTATATTAACTTTGGGAGAAAACCGGTAGTTCTATGTGAAATCAGACATTTGAGCACCCCCATGTAGCCAAAATGGCATGATCATAACCCCTCTGCGAATATTCGACTGTGAGATTGGTACTCGAATCAGGCTCCTCCTATCAAAGCATCGAATCTTCGACTATTCGGGGTCACCCCTAGTTTATACAAATAAATCTTTTAAAAAAATAATAATGTGTAGTTCAGTGTAACTGAATTACAAAACTCATGGAATTACACAATTTCATTAAATTAAATTCATGGAAAATGTGAACAGCTCACACAGAAAGAATCGTCTCAGGTTACTTATGTAACCATGGTTCCCTGAGTAGGGAACGAGACACTGCATCCTCTAGGGGTCGCTATGGGGGACGCCTCGTCGTGACCCGTGTCTGAAGCATACATTGCCTCGAAAAGAGAGACAAACGAGAGCGGAGCTTTTTTCCTTGGAAAAAATGCTCGCAGTGCACGCCGATTGCCCCCTCGGAGACATCGCGTGCGTGCTCTTTGCCCAAACAAACAACGCATAGATCGTGTGTGTCATCAGATGTTAAACAACGTCAACACGGATGCACACATCCTTAAATGCTTTGCTAGTGCTCGCCATAATGAGATAAATAGAGATTGCTCTTACCACAGAAATGCAAATTCAAACAAAACAGTCAATGAAGATGAAGAAGAGAATGATGTGTGCTCCCGGCGCCTATTTATACTATAGTCGCACCGGTAGTGATGTCATGGCTGTCGCCGGCCAACGAGTTGGTGTTTTTTCAATGTATGCTTCAGACACGGGTCACGACGAGGCGTCCCCCATAGCGACCCCTAGAGGACGCAGTTCGAAGTTCCCATGAAAGGGAAATAAAGGCAAGGTATTGCTTAATCCAATTTAATGGATTATCAGTGCCTCCAATTTGATACAAAGTTACACAGATCAATTTAAAGGGGTCATATGATGCAATTTCATGTTTTCCTTTGTCTTCGGAGAGTTAAAAGCTGTTAGTGCCTACAGAAGATCCGTAAAAAGTCGCAAAGATTGAAGTCTCAAACCCAAAGAGATATTCTTTATAAAAGTGAACGCTCATCCACTCCTTCCTAAAATGCCTTGTTCAAACATGCCCCCAAATATCTACGTCAGAGTGTGGGAAGATTTGCACAACACCGCCCAAATGTATACGCAAAGAAAGAAGGTGTGAATTTATTCTCGCTGTAGTATTGTTGCCGTCGCTAACAAACTACTTTGTTTGGCCTTCCAAAAAAGGACACAACTAGAAATCAGTGGTTAAGTTTTATTTACAACACTGTTCCAGAACAGTACAAGCCAAATATTTGATTGTGTGCTGCAAGGAAAGTTTCCTGAAGCTGGTAACATTTCCGTCCACGCTTGAGGTATTCGGCCAATCACAACGCACTAGATAGCTGGCTAATCAGAGAACACCGCTCTTTTCAGAACGATGAGCTTTGTAAAAATCGACAGCGTTTCAGAAAGGCGGGGCATAGAGGAGCAACAATAATGTACAGTATGTGGAAAATAATGTGTTTTTTTAACCTTAAACCATGTAAACACATTGCATTACACCAAATACAGGGGTCATGAACTGCATTTTTTTATGTTCTCTGAGGTTAACTTATAATGCTATCAAGATTTGTACATCAAACACATCATAATTTAAGTTTTGACCCCCTCTTTGAAATATATCATTTTGATAGGCCTGTAGCATTTAAGACTTGGTAAATGCCCACTGCTATAATTGGTAACAGTTTTATGTATTAAAATACTAGACACTGCTGTGATGTATACTCTAAAAACAATGTCAGCGGCTATTTGCACTAAGTGTAAATAGAAATTAGATGCTATTTACACTAAGTGAAAATAGCATATTTTCTTAGCGATAGATGTTATGATGCGCTATTCATCAAAGCATTGATTATTTAAGTGTCAGGGACAGTTCAAATGTCTAAAAGATCATCAATGACAGTTAAACACACTTCCCAGATTTAATGTGTCTATCTCAAACTGAAGCGCTTTTGATCTGACTTTTTATCAGATCAAAAATACTTTTTTTAAAAGACTTTTAGACTTTTTAAGCCTGTTTTGCTTGGATGAATGATCTGAGCTTTATAAATATGAATTTATATTTCATATTCCCCATACAATCAAGCTGTCAAAGTGGTGGCAAATGGATGTCCATGTTTAGACTACAATAATGAAGATGCTCAATCCTTTTCTTAGTTGTGTTTTCCCCTTTGCCCATTCCTTTCATAAGAATCTCACCACCTTTCATTTCTGTCCGCCTTCCTCCTGTCACACTTTCCCTCCTATCCTCTGTTCCTCGCAGTCCATTTGTAGTATTTGAATACTTTGTGGGATTTTTGTGTCAAGTAAAATATCCTCCCGTTCTCAACCTTATCATCATTCAGAATCGCCTCCTGTCTTCCGGGCCACCTGTCAGCCTTAGAACCTGCAGCGCGTTATTTGACAAGGTAAAAATTCACCTTTATACTGTACGGAACTACAGAAGCAGCATCATTTGACAAAGCCAATGCCTCTACTGTGCAGTAATGAGTCTTGAACTTAGAACTTCACAGAAGAAGCGACACATTATTTGGCATATGATACCTCTACACCCAACAACCCAAATGTACTAATTCATAAGTTCTGCACCCCTGAATCTCACAAGAGTTTCTTTCTAGGCAAGAGGGGCACTATCTAGTCATGACTGCTACATGTTATTGCTAGTCAGGGATATTCTTTATATAGAAGTTTGTAATGTTTTTTTAAAGAAGTCTCTTATGCTCATCAAGGCTGCATTTATTTGATCAAAAATACAGAAAAAAAAACAGAAATATTGTGAAATGTTATTACAATATAAAATAATGGTTTCTATTTTAATATAATTTAAAATTTAATTTATTCCTGTATATAAAATAAAACAAAGCAAATAACAAGTGTCTTATCATTTATTATACTACATATCATTATACATCAGTAGTTGTCTGCGACAAACAATGTTGATCTGCCGTGGTACAAGTCCTTGTGGAGATTGAAAGAATGCCATCTTCTCCTGTTCCGTTGTTGTCTCCTTTTTGTAGTTTTAAATAATGATTTAATGATTTGATATTTATTTGCCGCCGTCATGGCTATAATGCTTCTCTGACGAGTCGCTTCTTCTTCGGCTTTTGCAGTGCTACTGCGGGTTACACCAGCAACATGCCCGTGGACACTGCAGACTAGCGGTTTACATGTGTACTGCACGTCGACGTGGACAACGACGCAGAAGTATAAATGAAAACTGACGCAAAGCCTGCTGCGTAAAGGCTACGGTGTAGGTCCGACGCAGAAGTATAAATCAGCCTTTAGAATTATCTATATTGGCATCAATTGTGCTGTCAAATTTTTTTTATTTTTTTTTTGGAACCTGTGTGATACTTTTTTCAGGATTCTTTGATGAATAAAAAGTTAAAAAGAACAGCATTTATCCAAAATAGGAATCTTTTCTAACAATATAAGTAGTTGCTATCACTTTTTATCAATTTAACACATCCTTGCTGAATAAAGGTATTAATTTCTTTCAAAAAAAGAACGAATCAATTAACAATTAAACTCCGCACACCTGACGACAATAGATAGGGGCGTTGGAAGCAAAGACCAACCAGGTAAAAAACTAAAAAGCAAAAAACAAATCCTGTGTATATTGTTTGGAAAATATTTTTATTTTAAATATATGCTGTTCTTTTTAACTTTTTATTCATCAAAGAATCCTGAAAAAAAGTATCACAGGTTCCAAAAAAAAAAAAAAAACATTAAGCATCACAACTGTTTCCAACATTGATAATAAATCAGCATATTAGAATGATTTCTGAAGGATAATGTGACACTGAAGACTGGAGTAATGATGCTGAAAATTCAGCTTTGATCACAGAAATAAATTAGATTTTCATGTATATTAAAATAATATATCCACTCTGGACCCAGAGCCCAGCCCTCCATCTCCCCGCTGTGCGGAGCTAAAGCCCGAGCCCACCGATTAACGATTAACGAGCCAGCGCAGTACAGAGTGACTGAGCGAATGATCGCCCCGGATGCAGAGCCCAGTCCGTCTGAGCAGGTGTGAGAGCCGGCAACAGTGCCCACCGCGAGGGAACAAGCCGTGGACGGTGAGAGCATGGAGTGGAACTCCGCCCACAGCACCGTGGCTGAGGGTGAGCTAATTATACAGCTGGGACTGCTGGACTTAAAAATATTATTATTATTATCACTATACTTATAAGTGATCTTTGATTGCTTTAAGTAAAGTAGCCTAAGAAAGATGGCAGGATATGAGACTTATAATACATTATAACTGATAAATATAATCCATTGTAACTTAAGAGGATGCAACATGTTCACTGTGTGTTATAAATCATCATACTCTTAAAAGCTATAACCACACATAAGTAAATATTATAAAACAGTAAAACTGTTCTTATGAATATTCATAAGATGATATAACATGTTATAAGGTTTTTTATAATGCATTATGCATTTATTATAATGCCTCAAGAATACCCTTATAATGTGTTATAAATATGGGCTTCATAGAAAGTGTTACCTATATTTTCTTTTTCTTAGCATTTTTATATCCATATGGTACAAGATTATCCTATTTAAATCAACGTGACAAACAAGTTAAGTCAAAAGTAATCTAAAAGTAGTCTGATCATATTACCTAAAATGTGTAATGAAATTAATTACGTTACTAATGTCAATTTTTGTCATGTAATGTGGAATCAGTAACGGACTACAAAGTAATCTACACAGCTCTGTATGTATGTATGTATGTGTGTGTATATATATATATATATATATAGTGTGGCATATCAAGATACTGATTAGACAGCATGATTATTGCACAGGTGTGCCTTAGGCTGGCCACAATAAAAGGCCACTCTAAAATGTGCAAATGTGCATAAAACATTGGCCGGCGACAGCCTATGACGTCATTAGCCTGCGCGATCACAGTATAAAAGGGACGCCGGGATTTCACTGACCATTTGTTTATGTTAGCGTCAAGCTAAACACGACTAGGAGTGCATGTTTCTCGCCAGTGGCTTTGCTCTGATACCTGCAGTTTCACACGGCTCGCGTGCTGTGTGTGTGTGGTGAAGAGCAAGCGTATTCAGCTCTCGAGGGAGTTGGATGCGCTCTGCATTCATTTCTTATTTCTTGTGAGGGATAAGCATGAATTGAACGCGCTCTTCTCATGAGGAGGCAGCTTGTGCTCATCGTGATGCATTTGAGGGACTACTGAGGGGGATGTGAGTACTTCACCATTTACCCGAGTTTGTAGATAGCGTTTGCATGAGTGCGTTCGCCTCTCGCGGGAATAGCGATGCATTCGCGGCAGCGGTTTTCGTTCGCGCTTAATTTCCGAGGTAATCTAGCGGTTGGGCGGAGCGTGTTTAGCTCCTGCGGGAGCTGAATGCATGCTGCGCGTTGTGGTCGCAGTGAGAACATGGAAAGGACCTGATGGGAAATTTCTCCCTATAAGTAATTTCCTTTTGTTTATATAGGAAATGTATAGTGTGGATCTGTCTGCAGTTGGTTGGACAAGTGATTTATATCATGTCCTCCTCAGATAACCACATTATACTGCACTCTGGCTTGAGTTTAAAAAAAAAAGAAAGAAAGAAAGAGCCTTCCATTCCTTCCCGATCTTCATTTGGAG